GCTCGATCCCTCCCAATTCTCATTGTTGGAAGAATTTTTCTGGGTTCTGGAGTTGGGTTTGCCAACCAGGTCTACTCCTAATCTCTACTCCTTTCAATACCAAATTCTTTCCAAATTCTAATGCTGTTTCAACCTTCAAAACAGGCTGTGCCCCTGTTTATCTCAGAAATAGCTCCCTCCAGGATTCGTGGAGCGCTCAATATACTGTTCCAATTCGACATGACCCTCGGCATTCTTTTTGGGGACTTGACAATTTTCACCACATCCAAGTAAGAATCAAAGTCTCATCTTTGTTGTTCACATTTTAGATGAATTTTGAATTGTTGATATTTTAGGATGGAAGGCGAATGGGGATGGAGGATAACACTGGGTTTGGCCGGCGTTCCTGCTCTGTTATTCACTCTGGGAGCGATCTTGGTTGATGAGACTCCAAATAGTTTGATCGAACGTGGGCATTTGGAGGAAGGGAAATCAGTGCTACGAAAGATTAGAGGCACTGACAACATTGAACCTGAATACATGGCGATCTTGAGTGCAAGTAGCATTTCCCAGAAAGTGGAATATCCTTTTGAAGAGCTTCTCACGGGCCAAAATGGGGCGCCATTGGTTATAGCAATAATGATACAGGTTTTCCAGCAATTTACTGGAATGAACGCGATCTTGTTATACACTCCACTTCTATTCAAAACATTAGGCTACGGCAAGGCTGCGTCTCTATACTCTGCCATCGTAACAGGGGTGGTTAATGTTGTGTCCACGTTGGTCCCAATTTACTTTGTGGACCAGAGCGGGCGAAGAAAGCTGCTATTAGTGGGCGGAGTCCAAATGTTGGTTTGTCAAACAATTATTGCAATCATATTAGGGCTGAAAGTGAGAGACAATTCCAACACTTTGTCTCAGGGGATGGCCTTTACGATGGTGCTATTGCTGTGCCTGTTTGTGTCATCCTTCGCTTGGTCATGGGGTCCAATGGGATGGCTGGTTCCAAGTGAAATATTTCCACTGGAAACGCGGTCGGCTGGGCTAAGTGTGACAGTGTGTGTGAATATGATGTTCACGTTTTTGATTTCGCAGTCTTTTCCATCCATGCTTTGTGAAATGAAATTTGGGATCTTTCTGTTCTTCTCTGGTTGGGTGTTGGTAATGTCGTTGTTCGTGTATTATTTGCTGCCGGAGACAAAGGGTGTTCCGATTGAAGAGATGAACGAGAGAGTGTGGAAGCAACATTGGTTTTGGAGCAAATTTATGGAGGGTGAGATGGAAGAGTATTCAGATGAGTGTACACAGTCTGAAATCTAGCTTTGTTTTTCATTATGTACATTAGATTTTAGGTAGAATGTTAGAATTATTGAGAGGAATCGCAAACATGCATGCTTGTTGTTCTTCCATAATTGTGTACATATTAAGAGCATACGCCTCAACCATTTGTAATGGATAGAGATGAGATTGTACGAGTAAACATGTCAACTTTTCAAGTGTGTTAAGTAAGCATCAGTTCAAACAAGACTACAAAAAGAGTATATTCTCCAAATTCCATATACGCTCCCAAGACACCTGCAAAAGAGAAAATCAGGGAGGAAAGAGCGAGAGAGAAGTTGTCTTAAGTTTTCCGGCGAGGATCCGAAAATGAAACCCACAGACAAATAACCCAAAACCGATGTCAAAACACCCGAAATACACCGCTAAAGAGATCCTTGACGACCCTACGACCATCTACGAGACATTTGGCGGATCTCTGAGAAGAATCGTCGTCGGAAAGGGATCGAAAAATCCGAACCTTTGAGAACTTTGAAGATCTGTCGTCCTAGGCGCCTACAAGCCACGAAACTTTGTAGAAATGAAGCACAATGTTTAATACAAGGATTGAGGAGGAGAACGGAGAGGAAGAATGACGGGAATAGTCGAAGGAAGGAGGAGAAACAGAATCGAAAAATCGCGCAGGAAATCGGGCGAAGAAGAAAGGAGTCGTCGGATCCGATTCGGTCCCGAATCGGGTGCCCGCGGCCCAACCCGCGTCTTCAGCCAGCCTATCCTGTAGCGGCCCAAGACCCAAGACCCGTAACCGCTAACCTGCCTACAGCCTGCACCCGTGTCCGCTCTGCAACCCGCATCCGACAACCCGAGACCAACCTAGCTTGTTAACCGAGGCCCAGAACCCAAGCCTAGTGGCCCAACCAAACCGCCCTGCATCCAAACTCGCCTGCGAACCGAAGCCCAGCAAGCCAGCCCATATGCAGCCGACGACCCGCGAGTTGACCTGCGACCCGCGCCTCGACCCGAAGCGCTGCACGACGTGGCTCGCCCTGCGGCGCAAGCAGCCCTTCGGCACGGCTCGACTTGGGCGGCGCGGCGGCTGCTCCGGCAACTTCCTCGACGTATTCGGCTCAGATTTCCATTTTTCCCCGTTTTCACCTTTTCGACCCTCCCGAACCTGTTTTCAGCCCCAATTAAGGTAATTGAGACCATTTTAAAGCCATATTTCACATTGTTAGTTGGATTAATAAATAAAATATGAAATATTAACAAAAAGTGCGATAGGAAACAAACCCTGACAACCTTTAGAGCAGCTCTCAAGAAACGGGAGCTTATGTTAACTAACTAGGGAGAACTCGAACTAAAGCAACCAAGTGATTGAACTTTACGGTAAGGATAGACTAGAAATTGTACGAGCTACAATTTATGATGTACGAGTTATGATGATGTACGAGTTATGATGATGTATGAGATGTATTGTATGATGTTGTATACTAGTATATGATGATATATGAGTTATGATGATGTATGAGTTATGGTGCTTGAGTTATGATGCATGATGATGTGCGTAATATATATATTTCGATGTATGACGTACTTGATATGCTTAATGCACTTCATGGCGATATGATGAGTATGATGATTGCATGACGTATTAAACATGCTATATGATGATGAGTGTCATATTGCATCATGTCGATAGACCAACATAGAACACAACCCTAAGAACATGAAAATGATATTAATATAAATATCCAACGAGCATGTGTTACTTCATGTAACAAAGAGATGAGACTAGATGGTTGTGTCAGAAGAGATGTTAAGATGGGAATTAAAGGGGACCTCATGCATGTTGTATGTTCATAAGCATAGAGATACTTCCTCTAGAGATGGTGAGTGTGGACATGCACAGTATGATGATGAAAGTGTTCATGGGGAGCATGACACCGAGGGTTTCGCTGACTTTCGGACATCGCTACAGAGTAGCTTGACCAGAGAGGGACTAGGGGTGTGTGAGCCCCTAGGGATTCACACTCGCACGTGTAGGTCGTGTGTAGGGAGGTACTACACATCCATAGTAGTCCAAGATTAGAGCCATCTGTAGATGAGATAGAGATAGGTCCCAAGAGCATGATTGCATATGTTTGCATTTGCATTGCCTCCTATAGTGAGGTCACTCACTGAGTATTCTTCGAAATACTAAGGTTGTGAGCCATATCATTTTTCAGGTAAGGGCAAGATGCACATGTACACATGACAGTGACATCGTGAGCAAAGACGGGCATGCATAGGGTAGACTTATATTTAAATTCCTAGTCTTAGGTTAGAATAGGTTGTTTCGCATTTTATTGTTTTAAATTATTTTGTATTATTATTTTTATTTTCTCTAAATTTCAGTATCGTATTTAAACACGTAAGACCAGGACTGTGTTTTTTAGAGAAGAGGATGTTTTAAATGTTTTCGACATTTATACTATAGATGATTGTTTTTTTTTTAAATTATATTTGTACCTAAAGAGATGAGCCTGAAAGATTTAATAACTATTCTAAGTAGGTAGATATTTAGAGTTTTTACGAAAGAAAATATGGTTTCTTTAACCTACATCCCCAATTTTCTCCACTCCTAAGCTCATTTCACTAAAACACTCCCAACCAACTTCTTTTTCTCTTTCCCCTCTCATATTCCAAAAACTACCATACAATGGAAAGGTGTGAGTGGCTAGAATCTGCAAATTTTACTTGACAGATTTTTGAACTTGATTTGAAATAGGTTGTTCAACGATTAGCTCCCCTCCTCTCCCAGGTTTTGTTAGCTCTTCCCTTTCATTCTGTACTTTTCTTCCAGAATTAGACTTAGCCTGATGTTCTTAATATAGTGGAATATCTGTATGTAGGTCATTACAAACTTCGGACAAGTCAAGCCAATCTCAAAAATAAGATATAACGTTAGTTAAGACCAATCAAGTACGTGATTTTACTATTGGTATGGTTAGAAAATTTGTGTTATGCATGATGACACGTGTCCAATAATCCCACATATGTCATGTGTTTAACATAAAGGAGGCCTATAAAGCTTGTTTACAGAAACTCAATCAATGGTTAGTTTCAACTAGTACTTAGAACATCAGTTGGTGGAGGTCTTGTTGTTTATAGCAGTTGTAGATTGTTGTTTATAACATATGTTCCGCTAGTTGAAGGACTATGAGTGTAACCATCCCACCCACGATTTGAATTTGACAATAGTGATTTTCGCGTTAAAGAATTTATAGACCTATTTACGTGGGGAGATGATTCAAATGTTGACAAATCATATGAGCCTAAATATGAGACATCACAAATGATTCAAGTGGGTGAAGGATTATGGTGCATAGCTATTATATCACCGAGGTAAGATGACTGTAGTTGTAGCCTAAGTAGAAAAATAGCCCTCACATCTACTTCAATCACGAACAAATCTAGATACAAATTGATTTGGAGCATGCATAAGATAATAATATTAGTAGGCGCAGTTGATGGTTAAGCCAAAGGGCAACGTATCATTAATTCCCAACAAAGGGATCCTAGCTTCACCAAAGTTTTGAGTCGTTTTTGAGTCGTTTAGAGTGAAGCGGGTGGATGTGTTTTCCCCCATCCTTAGATCACAATTCTTTTTTTTTCCAAGAGTATTTTAGGCTTACGGAAAGTTGATGAACTCGCCATTCTCAATACATCTAAGTGTACAAGAGAGACGCAACGTTTTGTTTTTATTATGAAATAGTTTAATCATAAATATATGATTTAAACACATAGTTGCCACTTGGACAGTCTTTTAACTGTTGAGAAGCATTACATGACACTCTTTTGTTTTGTTTAGTATTTGGAGGGCTTCTTCTCTTTCTCCACGATCTCAACGTGAAAGCCATCAGGAAACTGTACGCCTGGGGTTCGAACAATATTACCTCCTCCAATTGCTTTGAACCTAAGTGGCATTCAAAAATATTAAGAAGCTTTGAAACAGTTAAGGCCTTGTCTTGTATTCATGCATATTCTTATAGGCATTTAGAAGACACGTACCTGTACTTGGTAACCAAGTTATGGAGAAACACAGCCATCTGCAATTTGGCAAAGTCTGCACCAATGCAAAATCTCAAGCCCCTTCCAAAAGCAATGAAATGCCTCGATGCCCCTTCACATCTCTGCTTACAACAGATACGTATCATAAACTTGTTCGGATTAGGTTTAAATAATTCCATCACATTTTGGTGGCTATGTTCGGTTACGATCCACCAAAATTACAACCATTCAATTTGACCCTACGTTACTCTAGAGTTTGTTTTGAACCCTTTAAATAGTTATCAATGTTATTTAAAATCATTCAATTTGGATTGGATCTATCTTTTTCGTGGACCGGGTTGGATGTGACCCACTATCGAAATATGTCGAAACAAGTAAAAGAAACAAAGGAACAATTTGAGGGGAGAGATCTTTTCGAGCAAAGAAACCTTGAGCACTTAGCTTTTTAATATCTCATGAATATTTATGGCCAAGAAAACACTCATTAGCTTCCTAAACTTTATCCTTAAAGTTAAGAACCACTTACCATCTCCCCTAATTAAATTTGGTCTACAATCTGACAACTACCACCAATTCTCTATAGTTGCTTCATAAGTTAGTAACTTATTACACTAAATTTTCTAATAATTCTCTTCAATTACTACCTAAATAAGTAGTAACTTATTTTACTAGGTCAAGTTTATTAGCTCACAGGCGGATTCTTATCTCAAATAAACAATTATTTTCTTTGCCTCGAAATATTAGATTAATGGTTTTTTTTTTCTTTAGAGTTTTTGAGATTGAATTCATTGGATCTCGTTCGGTTTCGAGTTTTTTAGAACGACGGGTTGGATAACATATTTATGAATATATATAGGTAGCACATCATATTGTGTGTATGTACATATAAAGGCTATTAAAATATATACTCAACGTACCTCCCACCGCCATGGGTTGAAGGCAAGTGGGTCAACATAATGCTTTGGATCCAAATGGATAGCTGGAGGACACACCATGACACCCCATCCCGCCGGGATGGTAATTCCTGTACGTGCAACATACACACCCTTTTACTAACAATACAATTAATGAAGCAATTAAAACACAACATTTGGCCTTACCCTTAAACTCAACGTCTCTCAATGCTCTTCGAAAGATCCCAGGAGCAATATTAGCCAGCCTCAATGTCTCATTCAAAAACTACAAAATCAAGTTATTAATCAATCAATTTCAAATACGTATAAAAAAAAATAAAAAAAAACAAAGAATTTTATAATTAATTCTTCCTTCACCTTGAATGTAAATGTCATGGATTTGTATTCATTCCAAGTAATCCCAGAAGCTTTATCTTTCCTGTTCTTCAAAATTCCCTCATGTTCTTCCTAATAAACATTGAAAAATGTTAAGAATGTGGGACTATCCAATGGTGGGTACTCCAATTAACAAAATTGATATCAAAATTTAAGAAGCACACAGTTAATTGGGTCAAGACGTGGGGATGATCTAGGAGAAATTTGATAGCTAAAGTTAAAGCAATGGAAGTGGTTTCATAGCTAGCAAAAAGAAGCAAAAAGATCAAATCCAAAGCGATTTCTTTAGTGAGAGGTGTTCCATCCTTTTGAAGTTCTTGAAGAACAAAGTCAAAAAAATCAACATTTTGTTTCCTTGGATTTTGCTGCCTTTCTTCTAACATGTTTTCCAGCATCCTCATCACTCTTTTTCTACCCTGTTTAACAAATCAATTCCATTAAACATCATAATTCAAATTAAATTCATAATTTAGTATGAAAAAATAATTCAAATTACCCGTAAGCATTTATGATAAGCCGTTCCAGGAATATCAAGAGGGAAAGACACCAAACCCTGAATGAATGCAACAAAATTCTCTCTCAAATTCTCTGGTGAATTTTCTGGATCATAACTAATCAACTTGTTTGCCGTGAGATCGAGTANAGACTGCATTTTTGCTTCCTTGACATGTTCCACACCCACATGCATTGTTTGCAACGTCTCCCATGCTGCCTTTGTCGAGTCCTTCTCTACAAACATGAGAAGAATGTCCTTCCGGACTACTTGGTAGATGGCGGCAAGAGCCATCCTGTCCTTACACTCCTCAATGTCACATTGCTCAATGGCATCCCACACGACTTGTGCTTGTAAGTTGACATGCATTTTTATCGATCATGTTGCGTAGTTACTCTTCGTGAGTAACGGGTACTGGAATGTTACACTTCCCCTCCTTTCCTCTCTTTAGCATTGTCACTTCTCCTTCGGTGACTTTGTATGGTGACGACATTTGTTTCGACATCCTCAAAGCCGTAATACAAAATGTTGGATGTGACCCTCGATCAAAATTATGTCGAAACAAGTAAAAGAGGCAAAGGAACACCTTGAGGGGCTCTATCTTTTGAAGCGAAGAAAGCTTAAGCACTTAGCTTTAAAATTCTATTTATTAGGGTGAAAAATCGTACATCTTAAGGAGTATTTACCGTAGAGGAAACACTAACTATGTTCTTAAACTTTTTCCTCACACTAAGAACTAGTAACGATCTTCCTAACTAAAGCATAAAACTTGGTCACCAACCACAAAATTTATTGGAAAGATGGTTGAAAACTATTACACTTTGTTGAATCAAATTAAGTAGAAAATGATATTAAAATCTAAAAAAATAGAAAAATCACAAAAAAAAAAAAAAAAAAAAAAAAAAAAAAAAAAAAATTGAAAGGTTTTTGAGTATCAATTTACATTTGCAATTTCATCCTTCAATTCAACTACTTTACAAGATGCCCATCTTCTTAATCTTGTAGTTGCTGCAGCTTCAACTTCAGAAACCATACTTTTCAAACATTCAATTCCAAAAGCGTTAACAATCATGTTCTTGAGATACTTATGCATGAAGCCATGCAAGGATCCGAAGAATTGATCTCCAAATATCTTTTTGAAGGTCTCTGGATACCAACATTCGAACAATGTTTCCTCTTGTTCGAATATGAGATAGTTTAGGTCAGGATCTGTTGAGATAATCAATGGTTTCCCCACTAAACTTGTTTTGAAAATGGGTCCATACCTGAACCAAAAATACCAAAATTTTATTGGAATTGAAGGGCGAAAATTGATATTTCCAAAGAAAAAAAATGAACTTTTTTTGTTTTGAGTACTTGAGAACTCTGTCTTTGATGAAAGGAGATACGTCGAATGATGGATTGGGAGCAAAGAAGTGGTTTGTTTCACCAAGAATGGGGAAACCCATTGAACCTTTTGGAAGTTTTGCATTATATTTGGATTTTATCAAGGCATGGAGGCAGGTTATGATACTCATACCAAAAATGATAGCCATAAGAACCCACATTTTGGTTATGAATTTAATCAAAAGTTTTGGTGGATAGGGAAGAACTATATGCTGAAGATTATTATGAAAAGGAGAGAGAGAGAGAGGGTTAGACGTTTTGTTGGAGTGAGATCTTAAATAGACGTAATAATTTAATGCTAAATGGTTATTGTTTTGCCGTTGCTTGTCGTGTCGGAATTACGTTGAATACATCCATTAAGCACTTGGAAGTTTCTCACAAAAATATCTCACTACAAATTTACGAAAAGGGCTACTTGTTGTGGGATTATTGATTAAAAGTTGTCATTTGGTTCACTCCTAACTTTATTTAGATAAATTAAAACACTTATGTACAAACTTAAAAGGGTTCGTTTTAGGATAGTTAAGTGATTTTAACTTTATGGACAGGTTCTAGGTTCAATTTTTTTTTTAATATCGATCGTAGATGAATTGGATTAGGGGAAGTTGAATCTAGGAGAATTTGGCCAAGGCAAGCATAGCAGTACTAAGTGAGCTTGAAACTATTAGTGGATTCACCGCTAGAATGCCTATAGACCGGTGGGATGAAGTTGTTGTGTTGTATGATCAACGCATATTGTGTGGTTGTTTATTATGTGTCAATATGATAATGATATGACTATATTTTTTTATTTGATGTATCGTACTTCTATGCATATAAATCTTATGACTATATGATATTTTAACGACTCTATTTTTTGTAATAAAATAGAGATACCATTGTATGCATGACATGCTTAATGTGCGTAAATTTATTTAGAGGAATTACATGTGGTAAACAAAAACATATTCTGTTTTCAATAAAGTTATAATTGATGTTTATTCATTAAAGATTGTTATTGAATAACGTGAATGTTACGATGATCAATCTAAACCCAATAAACTAAGAACACTCTGGCTATAGTATGATTACTTGAACTATACATAGAGACATAAGAGTGGATCAAGTTCAAGTATATAGTCAAAATTATCTATAGTACAGGGATAAAGTTGAGTACCTTATTCTGGGGACACTATGGATGCGGCCCACTTTTGAATATAATATAAACAATGTGATCACTAAATTGCACATGTGGAGACATGTGAGTGGGGGCGTCCCATGCAATGAGTATTGCATAAGATCGGACCATGAAGAAAACCACTCTCACTTTGTAATGTCGTTTACTGTTGAGACTGATTTTTTCATTCGATGACCTCGGTAACTCGATCTTAATCCTAAGCTAACTATGAACTTCTATTTATTCGGAATTATCCTTAGATTTGCATGAGTGAGAGTGGCCCGAGTTCGCCGACTCAATAAGCCTCCCATTTCAGGGGTAAGACTAGGTGAATAGCTGGGGACATAGGGTCTAAGATGGAATACACTCTTACTCGCTTTTAGGGACAGTAGAGAGGTTGTTCCCTTAAGTACTGACTCCAAGTCTTGAACAAGGGGGCCCACCCTCTCATTGGCCCGAGAGGGATTCAACTAGGTGGTTGGACCACAAACCCATTGTTCATTAGAGGATTAGTGAGACTTAAGGAACAAAAAGTAACTTTAGGGGTAAAACGGTAAATTGACCCAGCTCTAGTTACGAACAACCTGTAAAGGATCGACTTACTAATCATGGTTATATCAAATGGACAGAAATATATCTATAGTGAGGGGAGTGCAACTACTAGGCTATAGTGGAGTGTCCTAGTAGTTAGCGAATGTTGGTTCATAAGGTTAATGAATTTAGCCGGTTAATCTCGGATCGTTGGAGCCCATGATCTGTAGGTCCATTAGGTTCCTCTGCTAGCTCATATTGGACTAAATCTTAGAACAGTGTGACGAGTGAGTTCGAAGTGTTTGAATTCAAACTAGGTAATACATGTTAAATATATACGATATATTTAACCACATTTTGTTTTAATTATGAATTGAACAAAAAGGGAGAATGAAAGATATTTACATAAGATTTAAATATTTTAATTATGAATAGTGATTCATAATCAATATGTTCCGAAATTGATTGAGACTGACATTTGATTTAATGCTAAATATTAATTAAATTGTTTAATTAATCATTTAATATTATTTTGATGTTAAATATTAATTAAATTGTTTAATTAATCATTTAATATTATTTTGATTTGAAATTAATTATTTAAATTAATTATTGAATTAAAATAAAGAAAGTCAAAATGTTGACTTCACCTAATGGAAAAATCCATGTTTGAGTTAGTGGAATATTGAGTGTCAAAATTTGAGTGATCTCAAATTTGCATGAACATAAAAATATGACTCTATAAATAGAGTGATCAAGGGACATGAAACTTCTCCAAGAAAAACCTTGAGAAAAACTCTCAATAAACTCTCTCTTCATATATATTAGATCGCTTCCAAGTTTAGTCACTCATCGAATTCCACAATCCCGTTTTAAGGCCGAAGAATAGTAGAGAAGACACTAGTGGTGGTTCGAAACCGTTTGTGAGGAAAAAAAATTTGAACCACAAAAGGTTAGTATTCAAACTCATTGAGTTTTAATGCTTTTGAACATGCTAGCTAATTTACTATAATTGATGTACTTAGAGTGCCTAAGATCCAAATTGCTTGCGCATGTGTTATATTAACACCATCAATTGGTATAGAGCAAGTTTTAGGCCCTTGATTTACATTAATTTGAGCTGGGTACCATTTCATGATGAAATTTTGTAGTTGCTAAAGTGGATGTTTATGGTTTTGGCATTTTTTTTATGCTTCCATTTGATGCAATTATTGTAATTGGCCTAACGTGTATGGACTTTAATGATTGAAGGAAGGTCTGTAATTTTTATGGAGTCATTAGAGTCCATTTTAGGTTGTAATTGATCGAAAATAGAAGAGACAGCAAGCTGAATCGAAGAAGAAGATGGAAAAGGCAGTTCGGGTGTTTTTTCTGGCAGTTGGGGTCTGGTTCAACGTTTTTAAAGGTTGGTTCGGCCAGTTCGTGATCCTCGGGAGCGGTTCAAGTTATTTTTAATTTTTAATGTAATAATTTAGTTAATTGCTTGTTTTAAAATGCCAAAACCAATCCACTTTAGTGTGTTTAATTAATTATGCATTATGAATGTATGTTTTAATTAAATAGAAAATGTATATGCATAACGTATGTCATATAGATTTAAAATCCTACCATAGGCTAAGCATGTTTCATGCATTCCAAGTATGTTATAAGTGTTATAATGTATAGTATGCATGTTTAGGGTTCCATGAGTGATAGATATAAATTGTTATATTATTGCATGGTATGGATGATTATATAATTGTTATATAAAGTATGTTAGATGCATGTTATAGGTTATTTTCAACGTCATAAAATGATATAGACGTTAAAATCTATAACAAAGATAAATGCATGCTCACTTAAGGTTAACAACCAAGCATGATCAATTTTAATAGTTAAAATAGGTTGATATCTTGTGAAACTGCGGTTACAAGAAAGCTCACCTGACACGATCTTGTCTAAGGCTGAAGGTACTTAAGTTGACAGTTTACGGAACACCTGCTACCTGGATATCAGGCCAGTACTTGAACTTAGTTAGCCTAGTTTTATGAGCATGTGTGAGTGATGTAAGGATTTTTTTTAAAAAAAATGAAAAATCATCTAGATATCATAGGTAAAAATCCAGTATAAATGTTATACTTGGAAAAATCACCTAGACTTAGGTTATATCTAATTAGCCGGAATATACCAAAGTAATAAGTATACACAACTGTCTAAAATACTTAATGGGAGTAAAAAGATATATGAGATACATCGTTTTCTTTTTACGCTCTCTGGAAAATTCATACTGTGAGATTCATGCTTGGCCTTGTGTTGCCCTAGGAGCGGCCTCCATTCGGAAGGTATTTGCATGAGTCAATAACAAGGTGAATAGAGAAAGTATTTATAGTAAGTGGGAAAAGGAAGTATATCAACACATCCAATGGTCTCCACCACTAGGTTGCACCGTGGGATTCCCATGTTTCGTCTGCATGTTGGCCTAGAGCAACTACCCATTCAGAGGGTCATAACATGGGAGTCGGAACAATGCAAATTTTAGAAATGGATAGGATTTCTTAGGTCCATTCCCAACTTTAGCTTTTTCATTCGATAGCATTGTTGGGGCCGATCTCTGAGGACTGAAAATGGCGGGTCACACTTACGAAGAATTACTAAGAGTTAGTATATTCTTGAACAAAGTTGTAACGATCCTAAATTTCCACATATCCTGAGTCGCCACTAACGTCTCATGCTCATCTCTAATGCAGAATAAAAATCTAAGCATGCTCATCTTTGATAGCGGAAAAAAAATTAAAACTTCAGAATACATTAAAACATTGGAAAACACTACCGGACTTACGCGTGTTTCAAACATTGTGCTAGAGTTCCAAAAAATAAAATAAAATAAAATAAAATAAAATAAAACGACTACAAATTAATTAATCTAAATGAATGAATTGCAAACGCCCTATTCTAACTAAGACTAGGAATTAAATATGCATCTATCCTATGCACGCGCCACAGTCTCTGATCACGATGCCACCGTCAACCGTACATGGGCGCCTTGCCTTTACTTGAAAAAAAAACAATATGGCACACGGCCTGAGTAAGAAATACTCAGTAAGTGACCCCACTATAGGGGCCATGCTAATGCAAACACATGCAATCATGAATAGGGACCTACCTCTAATCATCCAGTCTTGGACAAATTGGATGTGTAGTACTTCCCTACACACGACCCACACGTGTGAATGTGAGTCCCCAGGGCGCTCGCACGCCCCCTGGACCCTCTGGTCAAGCTAATCTGTAGCGACGTCCGGAGGTCAGCGGAACCCCATAGTGTCATGCGCCTCATGAACACCCTCATCTGTGTGCTTTCGCACCTGTGCGCATTCGCGCTCATCGTAAGGTGCGCGTCCGCACTCATCATCTCTAAGGGAAGTAGCCCTATGCTTATGAACATACAAAATGCATGAGGTCCCTCTAAATCCATCGTAATGTCTCTTCTGACACAACCCTCTAGTCTCATCTCTTTGTTACTCTAGGTAACGCATACTCGTGGATGTT